CTGAACAAACTGAATAATCTGAACAAACTGAATAATCTGAACAAACTGAATAATCTGAACAAACTGAATAATCTGAACAAACTGAATAATCTGAACAAACTGAATAATCTGAACAAACTGAATAAACTGAACAAACTGAATAAACTGAACAAACCCACAAAAGTCTGGAGTTTCTGTAAAACGTTGAGGAAAAACCTGAATGTGGTGATTTGCACCGAGTTTAATTGAAAATAAGAGGGATTTTTTATTCAAGAATAAAAAAGTATACATGTTTATTATTTTTGCTTAAAACAAACAAGCTACTTTTTGATATATCTTTTTTGGTCTGGACCTGAAAGAGGTCAAAAAGTCGAGGGTCTTCTGTTGGGGCAGAAATAAATTCTGAGATTAGAATGGTCCTCCTCCTCCTCACTCAGAGACTGTCAAACTGAGGAACCGCTCACCCCTGACGTCACAGATCCTCTTCATCATGGTGCAGATTAGTGAAACAGCAGGTCAGGTCCTCAGGTCCGTAGGCCTGGTTCTGGCAGCAGTGACCTGTGGGCCCCCCATTTGGAGATAGACCATCTACAGTGAAGTCTGCTACATATCCGGAGTGATTCCGATCATGTGGGAGGGGCTGTGGACGACGTGTGTGGTCAGTAGAACCACCTTAGCTGCCACTTGATTGCTGTTGAGTGGACATGTTGGTGGCTCGGGCCACGACGTCTCCATCCTCTTCGGGGTCTTTGACGTAGTTTTGTCAACTACTGGTCGAAGATGCACAAACTTCTTCAAGGATGAACGATCCAAGTCAAAGGCTTTCATTGTTTGTTCATCACCTCGGGGCTGATTTGTTATCTTTCGTGCTCCTGGCATGCCAAAAGCATCACGGCCAACCCCTATGTCCCAGAATGGACCCAGATTCATCTGCATGATGTTGAATTTTAATGTTTTGGAGTAGCAAACCAAAACCCACAACACATTTCAGGATTTTTTTTAACGCTGTTGTGGGATATTTAAAAAGCACAGCTTTATAGGAGTTAGGAAACCACTTTTGAATGTAGGTCTAGTTTGGTTTCCTTATGGTTTACGTCACTGACTGAGAACAGCACAGTCACTACTCAACTCACTGAAATCTGTCGTCTCTGCTCTTGTATTGATTTACGTCTTATATTCATAGAATTCCTTGAAATAATGCATATTGGCGGTGATCTTGCATGTCAAAGTTTTAAACAAAACTAGAATATTGCAAAACATAAACTGTAAATGAGGAGTTTGGTTTTAGTGACTATATAAAATAGGAAGTAGTTTTTGGAGCAGCATCATGAAACTTAAGGTGTGTCTCAGCTTGTTTATGCAGTGGAAATGAAATGTTGTTGCAAAGAGCAGCATTAGTGGTCTAGCATGATTTTGTAGTAAAGTGATGTTAATTTATTTTAAAGTAATCAAGGCCACACGTTGTACTCTTTCACTACAAGTATACTGTTCATTTCCTTCTTCTTAAACTGCCATTCATAATACTGTTAACAGAAAAAAATTGTACATATCTGGTGAAAGTCCCACCACTTTTAATGTGCCAGTTTGTGCTGAATTTAGTAGCACAATCATAAATTGGCAGAGAAAAGAACAGAGGACTAAGTACACATCCTTGAGGCACCCCTGTGCTTAGTTTGATGGAGTCCTATCACCAACATAAACTTTCTTCTGTTTTCAAAGTTTTCAGGTTGAACTTCACTTTAAGAAGCTGAGAAGTTAGTGAACAAACCCTCTACTCTTTGTTTTCTCAAAATAGTTTGATCCAATAAAATAGGGATACACTGGCCAAACATGGCTAACAAAATAAGAGTTACTACCGCCATCTTAGATGGCACTAAGTGGAACTGCCAGCATGGCAGCACGCCATAAAAATCTGAGTAAAAAAATCTAAACTCAGCCAAGGTGTGCAATGGGCCTGTGCTTTGCCCCTGACAATGTTTGACTTGTTGGCAGATTTATTACAGAATATTGTCTCCGCTTTTAACACTGAGCACAATATATGTTCATTTAGGCAGGCGGAGCCTATTTTTATGCATTTTGGACTGATGGCACAGCATACAGTACACACAAAGCATTAAAAACCTGGGTCTTCAACATGCAAACAGGAAATGTAGCACCTAGCAAGATGGTGGCCAAGAATCTCTCCTTCAGTGGTCTTCCCACTTTGTAAATTAATCTGATTCAGCTGGAGTACAAAACATTTAGCTTCCTGGTATACCACGAGTGATTGTTTTTTTTTTTAATTGAAATATTTTGTGTTCAAGGAACTTGTGTTTTAACGTAGGCAAAAACAATTCATATGATAAACCTCATGGCAGCATGTGATGCTGCTTTAGGTTTCGGTTTAACTTGTTTCTGAGTGATGTGTTTGGAAGATGTGAAAACTTTTTCAAAGCTTTCGATTGAACATAAATTGCCAATGTTTGTTTTCCATCTTTGATCTGGTTTCAGGACTTGATTAGTCGTTTTAACTCAAACCAATAAAATCATCATCCCTGCAGGAAAAATCTGCATAAAGTAGGTTTTTCAAGACATTGTTTAAAGTTGAGTACCACACCTTAATCTGCAAGAGAAGGAATCTTGTTTGACTAGAGAAACTCACCTGACAACAGCTGAGCCCTCCTCCTCCTTCACTCTGGTTCAAACACCTGATCAGAAAGCCGTGTCCCTCGACGAGGCGCTGCGTTCACTCCTGCCGTGAACAGTCCTCCTCATCATGGCCAAGATTGCCAGGGAAACGTCAGGTCAGGTCATAAGTTTCTTAGGCCTCGTTTTGGCAGCGGTGACCTGTGGAATCCCTTTTTGGAGGGTGACCTCCTACATTGGCGCCAACATCGTGTCGGGTCAGATCATCTGGGACGGACTGTGGATGAGGTGTGTGATGCAGAGCACAGGTCAGATGCAGTGCTCCATGGCCAACAATGTGATGAGCATGTCGCAGGACCTGCAGGCCGCCCGAGCGCTGGTCATCATCTGCCTGGTCATCGGCCTCATCGGCTTCTTGATCTCCTTCGTTGGAGCCAAGTGCACCAGCTGCCTGAAGACAGACCAGGGAAACGCCGTTGCGGTGATCACAGCGGGCTTCCTCATCATCGTATCCGCAATCGCGATCCTGATCCCAGTCTGCTGGTCTGCAGCCATCACCATCTCAGACTATTCCAGCACAACGATCCTCGAGACGCAGAAGAGGGAGATAGGAGCGTCCATCTACATCGGCTGGGCGTCTGCTGGAATTCTTCTGATCGGAGGGATCATCCTGACAACCTCGTGTCCTCCTCGAAGGAAATTTTATCCAAATCACCCTGTGGTGTCCATGTACCCATACGCACCGGCAGCAAACGCTGCTCCCGTGTACGCTCCTCCATCCAGCCGGTTGTACACGTCCTCAGAGTCCTACGTGCCTACCAAACCTTACGCTGCACCGGCCGCATACTCACCGCGGCAGTTCATCTGAGAGCGAAGGGACAGACTGAACACAGAGACTAACGTTTCCACCACGGCTTCAGGAACTCGTCTTGGAAATGAAAATGTAGCAAAACTTGTACTGTGTTTTTAAAACACGGGATAAAATCCTGTAAATTCTGATGTAAAGTACCCGAGTTTTGGAGTTTTGCACACGGATTTTCTTTTTGCTTCCATGTTTTTGCTTTTGACATTTTCTCAGGTTGGTTCTCTGAAAAGAGGCAACACCTTTTGTGTAGAAATCACAGTTTATGTGTTTTATTTATGAACGAAGAGCATGTTCACAAACCAGAACGTGCATGTTAGGCAGCCTTCAGGCCTCCCTTGCAAACGAGATCTGTGATCTCAATGGGATCTGCCTGGTTAAATAAAGATTAATAAAAATAAAATAAATGTCTTATGATGTCTTAATGCTTATTATTCATGTTTTCTGAAAATAAAAGTTTGTATTTTAACTTTTTAACCTGTTTGTGGAGTCATTCTGTGTCAACGTGATTTATAATATTCATTCAACCTTTATTTATACAGGTTCATCCCACTGAGCCTCGAGGACTCATTTACAACAGAGACCTGATTTAACAAAGAAAAAATCAAATAAAATGAAAACCAATAAATAAAATAAAAATACATCACATTTAAACCAATCAGCTTTATTTCTGAAGCACATTTAAAACAGTTAAAACCAAAGTAGCTCACAGTAAAACCAGAAAAATAAAATAAAGACAAAAAGTTTAAATAAAAAAGAGAGAGATCATAAAACACATACTATAAAAATGACATTACCTAAAATCCAAAGCTAATAATAGCAGGAAATATCATTTTCCATTTTAATCGGTACACGTGAAAAAAAAAAATCACATTACAAATGATCAATAAATAAATAAAAATACAAATAAATACATTCCCCTAGGCCTTTATAAAATAATTAAAATAAAAAAATCTGGATATAATTCCCTCATTTCAGTTATAATTTTGGTTTGTTTCATTATCATGAAATAAATAAAAACTTATAACATAAAAAAATGAGTCATCTGTGAATCTGAATACATAAAAAATAATAATAGATGTAAAAATAAAAAAAACACAGAGGTTTTAACTTGTAAAAATTAAACTGGCTGGTTAAATAAATAAATAAATAAATAAATAGATTGATCTATTTTCCCCATTTCTTAAAATCTGTAGTGATTTATTTAGTTAAAATATATAATAATAATCAGTATTAACTTAATCTAGGCATTTTGACTATGAAAACTTTAATCCTAGCCTGGATTACAGAACAAAAATAAACGAGTCAGTCAGCAAAATTCACCGTAGATGGAGAACAGTGCACATCCGGTGAAACTTGCCCACTTTGATGTGTTTTTTTTTAAACCTGAAACCAGTGCCTGGATGTGATGTCCCAGTCAACGACAGGCTGGGTGCTGCTTGAATGCCTCGTTTACATAGAATCATTTAGAACGGAAGTCCATCTCGTCGAAACCGCTCCTCATCTGCGTGCAGATCAAGAGAAGAATCTGGCCGGACAGGTAACTCAGTGGTTTCACTGGTTTCAGGTCAGAGGAAGGATGCTCCACCTTCAAGTCTTTAAAAGTGACTGAGCGGTGCAGCAGACCTCACTCGACTCTCTGCCGGCAGCCGACGTCTTGCTGTGACTCCTCTGCTTCGTTCGCCTCCAACTCAAACCTCACCATGGTGTCTATGGGACGACAGATGCTGGGCTTGGTCCTCGCCATCATCGGCTTCCTCGGGGTCATCATCGTGTGCGCCTTGCCCATGTGGAAGGTGACGGCCTTCATCGGGGCCAACATCGTGACGGCGCAGATCATCTGGGAAGGCCTGTGGATGAACTGTGTGATGCAGAGCACGGGCCAGATGCAGTGCAAGATCTACGACTCCCTGCTGGCGCTGCCCCAGGACCTCCAGGCTGCCAGGGCCCTCATAATCATCGCCATCATCGTCTCCGCCATGGGAATCATCCTGGGGATCGCCGGAGGAAAGTGCACCAACTTTGTGGAGGAACCACGGGCCAAAGCTCGAGTGGCCATTGCTGCTGGAGTCATGTTCATCTGCGCCGGCATTCTTACGCTCATCCCCGTGTGCTGGTCCGCCAACACCATCGTCAGAGATTTCTACAACCCCGTCATGACCGACGCCCAGAGGAGAGAGCTGGGGGCTGCCCTGTACATCGGCTGGGGCACGGCGGCGGTCCTCCTGCTGGGGGGCGCCCTCTTGTGCAGCTCCTGCCCTCCAAAGGACGACGTCCCAGAGTATCCGGTCAGGTACAGCCCCGCCAAGTCTGCAGCCACCAGCCGGGCCTACGTCTGAGCGTTCTGCTGTGAGGGACCGTGTATCCATATTTTTATAGCTTCGATTGGACTTTGCGACCGCACCACGGTCGTGGGACAGCCGCACCAAGAGACGGACAAAGACTGAGTCCTTCAACAATGAGACTAAAAATGATGCGATGAAAAGTCTTCCAGTATTCGTGTTCACTGCAGACAAGGAGAACAGATTTATGTTCAGGTTGTTCGGCCTCATTGTTCCCTGAATCAAAACCGTCTGAGTCGCACCAGGAGGTCGTTAACGGCACAAAAAGCTCTGACGGAAACTGGAACGTGTCAATGATTAAACTTGTGATTGTAAGATCGTACACATATCTTTGCTTCATAGCAGTATCAAATACCTGTTTCTTATTAATGCCACTGTTTTGTAATAAAATGTTTGCATTTGATGTTTTTGTCAAAGCGCATTATTTGCTCCAAAGGTTTGACTTTACTTTCGTGCTCCGACTTAAATTTAAAATAAAATCAAAGCTTTTGTTTTGTAAACCCCAATCCAGCTAATCAGTCCAGTTCACACTTAGTAATAAATAAATCTAGATTAAGCCCCATATTTCCTTTAAAATGTGGGATTATTTAAACAAAAGTGGGTCATGAGGTGTAACTACGCTGAGCCGGAGTGAAAAACTTCATTCCTGTAAAATCGCTCCTTGTGTTTTCCTTCAAAACCAGTTTAACCAGTTCCACAGTCCTGACTGCAGTCCGAAGCTTTGGTGTTGCGTTTCAAGAAAGGTTGAGACGAGATTTACGCCTACAACATTTCTAAATGATGAAAAGTGTTTCCTCATACTTTAACAAAGAAAGAGGATTTTTGTTTTCTTATTTCCGGCGCGTTGGTCGAACAAAACTCCCGAAGGTCATGAAGTTTGGAATCAAAAAATGACCAGAGGCTTAAATTAAGACGTTTTAATCTTTTAATCTGATCAAAATAATTACAAAATGACCCCAACCTTTTATGGTTGGCATGTTTGAACCCTTTCTGACTGGTGATAAATAATATTACAGCATATTAAAGATAACCGATTAAAAGGAAAAGTCATATTTCACTTTATTACGTTCCCAAAGGGCAATTCATTTACAGTCAGTGGTGATGATGACAGCACGTTCATACAGACTTTAACTTGACAAAATTAATAAAAACAGGGTAAAAATGTGCATTAAAAACAAGATTAAAATACAAACATTACTAAAAGAGAAGACAAAAAGAGTTGGACTGTGATAATCCAATAGCAATCCTGGGATAAGGCCTTAAATCTGTATTTTGTTTAAAAAACCAATGACTGTGGGGATGAAAGAGTTCTTTATTATAATATTTCTTCTAACTTAATGCCAATGTTGAATGTTCTCAATTAGCAAAAATATTTAAAATAATTATTAAAAATAAATAATTATAATTATATTAATTAAAACAATTACAAAAAAATAACAATATGTATCCCATTTGTCGCAATAAGTAGCAAAATGTCCCAAAATGTAGCAAACACGTTTTAAATGAACAAAAACGCAGCGTTAAGAATTGCCAAACAATTTAATTCAGGATCAACAGACGTCACTCGTGTGTTGTGAATGACTGTCAGCTACTACCACCCTGAACATGAAGATCAGCTGAAGCTGAGTAGGAGCCGTTTGTGTCAGCTGGTTCTGGCGGCCATCTTTGAACGGTTAAACAGCTAAAGATGTTTACCGTAGTTTTCGGACTATAAGGCGCATTAAGCGAAACAAAACAGATGAGTCGAACTTTATTCAACTCGTTCACAATAAAACTCTGAACATTGTTCAGTTGTAACACATAAAATCAGTTTGAGGTCAGTAAACCAGAATTAATACATAAGACGCACTGGATTATAAGACTCGCTGTTGATTTGTGAGAAAATTAAAGGATTTTAAGTGTATTTTATAGTCCAAAAACAATATATATATTTAATGATTATTTCCTGTGAGTTTAATAAAGTCCGTCCAGTGGTTTATGAGATGTTTTGCTAACAGAGTTGACGTTAAACAGTTCAAGTTTTCCACAGTGATCTTGTGCAATCTGTTGGGCTCAGAGTATGTGCTGGAGCTCAGGCTCAGCTACTACCACCCCAAAGTTTAGGTCGATGAAGCTGACTGAGTTGTAGCTGCAGCGGCCATCTTGACTCAGGCTGATGTATCAGTCGGTGCTTTCAGTAAACACACACGCCACCACCACACATGATACTAACCTAAAGATGGCACCAAAAACTGCTTTAAAATATTTTGTTGACACTCTCGTGTAATAAAACGAGTCACTGTTTTAGTTTTTCAGTGAAATTTGATTGATTTATTTATTTTTAATCTGCTTCTTTTGTGAACCGACATATGAAAACGTCGAACTCTTTTTGGTTTCTTTAACTTTATTTAAACGTCCAAGTCGTGTTTCCTGCTGTTTATAGTTTGGGAACAGCTCTCGTCATCTTTCAGAAAACCAAGCGCTTTGTTTTGTTTCAGGAAATGACTTGTTCATTTTTCTGTGATGCAGAATGATGTCAGCAGAGTGAACACACCCTGTCCTGTTGGGGGATTTTATCTGGTATCACATTCCTGGCTTCACGTCTGACACCAGAGAGAACCGGTCCCACAAACCGGTTCCACACAGATGAACTTTCACAGCACTCGCCGACGCTTGTCGTGGTTTACGCCAAAACACAAAATAAAAAGGAGACTTGAAACATTAGCTGTTGACTTCTAGCAGTTTGGAATTAAAAAAAATTAAAAAAGCAGCTAAATGTTTTTAAAACGACAAGATGATTTTAACAAACTCATACAAGTCTTCTTTAACGTTTTATTAAATTAGATTTCACGTTTGTTAAATCAAAACTAAACTTTACATCACAAGTTTAGTTTGTTATGGTTTTATTATCACTTTCTATGTACGATGATGCGTTGGCAAAACAAGTCATAAATCTCTGGACAGATTTTAATAAAACTTTCATAAAGTTTTGATCGGCACAATAAAAGGTGCCAAACCAATTCAAGATGGCCACCACAGCTAAAGTTTGTTGTGGCAGGAGCCGAGTCGTCCTCATCACAAACTAAGAACGCTGATTGTGTCCAGTACCGGTAGTTTGTTCTGAGTCACGAGCTGCTTGTACTCAGAAAAACAAATTAATCTGTGTGTTCATAGAAACAAAATATATATATATTTAAATGTTTTCAAGTTTAATTCTCAATATCTTTGTCACCGTGGACTTCCTCTGACAGAAACTACCTGCAACTAAAGATTTCATTTAAAGCTGAATTATACAGTATATTATCTATAGCAGTGGTAAAATGTCCCCCTGCACTTGATTTGATGAACAGATTTATTTTTGGACCAGCTTAAGGAATACGTGAGTCGTCATAAACACAATACAGTCCAATGAGTCTGCACACTTCCCAACAACTGGTTTGGAGATCAGCAGACCTGATGACTAATGCATGTGGATGTTGCTTTGCTCCTTGTTTTGCCTTTCTGTTAGTTTTGATCTATTTTTGTTTTATTCTATTTGTCCTGTGCTGGTGTTGTGTGGTATGGCAACACGTGGTATAGTGTGGTATGGTCTGGTACGGTATGGTTTGATATGGTATGGCATGGCGTGGCGTGGCATGGTGTAGTGTAGTGTAGTGTTGTATGGTATGATTTTGTATGATATGATATAGAATGGTATTGTATGGTATGGTATGGTATGGTATGGTATGGTATGGCATGGCGTGGCGTGGCATTGCGTGGCATGGTGTAGTGTAGTGTTGTGTGTTGTGTTGTATGGTATGATTCTGTATGGTATGGAATAGAATGGTATGGTATGGTCTGCTTTTGGCCTGGTCTGGTATAGTCAGATCTGGTATGGTATGGTCTGGTTTGCCTGGCCTGGACTGGTCTGGTATGGTTTGATATGGTATGGTATGGCGTGGCGTGGCGTGGTGTGGTGTAGTGTATTGTTCAATTCAATTCAATTCAATTCAGTTTATTTATATATCACCAAATAACAACCAAGTTGTCTCAGGGACTTTACAGAAACATTCACATAAAAGCCAATTAGTAAAGTTCTCTATCTAAAGATTCCAGCAGACAAGTTGAATCTTGGCTTTGTTGCAGTCTCCCATCCTGAGCAAGCACAGTGGAGACAGTGGGAAGAAAAACTCCCTTTTAAAAGGAAGAAACCTCCAGCAGAACCAGGCTCAGGACAAGAGGTCATCTGCTTTGACCGGCTGGTTGAGAGGACAGGAAGGAGAGACAGACGAACACAGAATGGTAGGTCCAGATATATGTCCAGGTGTAGGTCCAGGTGTATCTGAAAGATAAAAAAAACACATGTTAAGGACAGAAAAAATAATTACAAATACAAAACAGGTTGAGCAGAGTAAGTAAAGACAGTAGTAGAGTGAAAATTATGGTATGGTATGGTATGGTATGGTATGGTAAGGTATGGTTTGGTTTGGCCTGGTCTGGTATGGTCTGTTATAGCCTGATCTGGTATGGTCTGGTTTGCCTGGTCTGGACTGGTCTTGTATGGTCTGATCTGGTATGGTATGATTCTGTAGGGTTTGGTATAGTATGGTAGGGTGTGGTGTAGTGTAGTGTTGTATGGTATGGTATGGAATGATCTGGTTTGGTCTGGTTTGGCCTGGTCTGGTATAGTCTGTTCTGGTCTGGTCTGGAATGGTACGGTATGGTAGGTATTGTTTTTCTGTTTACAGTCATGATGATGGCTATTTATTTATTTTTATGTGACCAGTAAAAAATATTTAGAAGGGTTTTTCTTAGTCCACGTGGTTGAACATTTGATGTTGGAGCGTTTGTTTGTACAGGAACCCTGATTCAAGCCCAGTCCACTACAGAACTGGTCTTTTGAACTTGATGCTAACGTTCTGGATGCCTCCTAAAGGACACATCTGTCCAGTTTAGACTTTTGTCCTTCTCCTTTACGAAGTAGCAATTCTTCAAACATTCTTGAAATGTTTTCTAGTATTGTGAGCTGTATAAGGAGAAATATGTAAATCCCTTTCAGTTTTTGTCAGTATTATGACCTCACTCAGGTGTTGAAATCACCTGTCTGAAATAACATCATCCTTTCATTTATCTCATAACCAGCTCTGAATGGTATGGATTGATAAACAGGGGTGGATTCAATTTTAAGTTTTATTTAATCTTTGTTTAACCAGAAACAAAAATTGAGATTAAAAATGTATTTGACAAGTGTTCTGGCCAAGGCAGGCAGCATTCAAATCATTACCAAAGTACAATATATAAAGAAAAAAAAAAAATACACCACAGAAAACATGAAGGCTCATTAAAGATAAATTAAATATCATGTGATACGAAGGGAGACTGCCAAAGTTAGCTTTGTAAATAAGAATGTACCTATGTTAAACTGTGGACAGACAGAAATACAACAAACGGTGAAAAGTCAGTTTTAAGGTGACTCTGCTCTTTCTTCACCAGGACAGACTGAAGCAACACCCTCATTACTGAGGACGAGGCCCCAATCGATTAATCCATCTCATCGTCATCCTACCATCACTCATGAACAAGACACCTACATATTGAACTCTGCTACTTGAGGCAAAGTCCCCCCGCCCCCCTACACACACACACATCGACCCAGCAGGTGCATTCCACCTGTTTCCAGTCAAGAAAGATGGTCTCAGACTTAGAGGGACACACTCATTCCAGCTGCTTCACACAGTGTCCCAGTCCCAGTGCACACTGAAGGTGTGATGAAACCAACAGAACCACATCATCTGCATAAAGCAGAGATGATACCCTGGGGTTCCCAAAGCTCCCAAAGCTCCTGCTTTGGTTCAACAGGGACCAGATGGCCCTTGAAAGCAACCCAGGCACCCCATACTCCCACAGCATCTCCCACAGAATGCCTCTAGGAACGCGGTCACAAGCCTTCTCCAGATCCACAAAATGTATGTAGACTGGAGAGGCCAACTCCCACGACTCCCTCAATAACTCCACAAAGGTGAAGATCTGGTCCTCTGGTCCTCTGGTCCACTGTTCCATGACCAGGATGGAAGCCACACTGCTCCTCCTGAATCTGAGGTGTGACAGTTGGTTGAAGCCTCCCTTCCAACACCCTGGAGTAAATGTTAATGGAATAATGTTCCTGTTTTTAGTGTTTTTTATCGCTTTATACTGTCACTGTTTTTGTTTTGTTTTTTAATATAATTTTCTTACATTTATTTTTCAATTTATATGCTATTTTATGATTGTCTACTTTTGAGTTCTGTCTACTTCTTTGTTAAATCAGGTCTCTCTTGTAAATGAGTCCTCGAGGCTCAATGAGACTAACCTGCATAAATAAAGTTTGAATAAATGAAAAAGTAAACTTTCCTGGCGAAGGCAAAAAGTGTGATACCATGATAGTTGGAATACTCTCTCCAGTACCCTTTTATAAAAATGGGAACCACCACCCCGGCCTGCCACTCCACAGGCATTGTGCTAGTCTTCCATGTGACGTTGAAGACACGTGTCAACCATGATAGCCCCACAACATCCAGAGCCTTCAGCATCTCAGGGTGAATCTCGTTCACCCCTAACATCATGCCACAGAGGAGCTTTTGGAATACCTCATTGTCCTCTGCCATGGTAATGGACTTGTCTTCCCCCGAGTCCTCAGACTCTGCCTCCTTAAAGGTGGACATGGTTGGTGGATTAAGGGGATCTTCAGAGTGCTCCTTCCACCTCTCAACAATATCCTCAGTCTGGGTCTGCCATTCCCCAAGCAAACCAATAACAGTCTGGGAAGGGACCCACTATCTGACTCGCCAAACATTTTGCCAGAACCTCTTCGAATCCAAACAAAAGTCCTCCTCCATGGCCTCCCTGAATTCCTATGCCAGAGTTTTTGAATCCCCGGCCATGAAGCCATAGTCTTTCTGGCCACTCTGTACCTGTCAGCTGCTTTAGGAGTCCTCCAGGATATCCTGATGCATGCTCAAGAATCCAGGTAGAAACATTTAAAAAAAAGTTAAGTCAGGTCCTCTGGATGGGTTCAAAGCACCCAGGTTTTTTGAACTCATCCGAAAGACCTGACTCAACTTTTCCATTTCCACTGGTGTCCACTACCGGATCCTTTGGTTGCCACTGTGACAGGCACCAATGACCTTCTGGCCATAGCTCCTGGAAGCTGCATCTGAAATGGAGGCCTTGAACATGGCCCATTCAGATTCCATGTCCCCGACTTCCCCTGAGACATGTGAAAAACTCTCCCAGAGGTTTGAGTTGAAGGTTGCATGGACAGGGGGCTCCACCAGATGTTCCCAGTTCACCGTCACCAACCAACCAACCAGTCAATCAATCAATTAATCAGTCACTTTATTGTCCATAACATTCCATGAAATAGAGACTTATCTTTGACATCTGGTTCATACAAACAAAACAACACAAGTTAAAAATGCCATAAAATGTTTGCTGGCTGCTCCAAACCTCCCAGACACAGCTCCTTGGTTTTACTGACATTAAGGTCCAGAAAACTGTCATCAAACCAGGCTGAGAGCTGCTCTATGAACTGGGAGGGGCTGTTGGTGTCTTTCAGACCAGTAACTAGGGCCATATAATCAGCATAATTAATTAATTAATGTGAAGTCTTTGTTGTTTTGCCGCAACTCATTTGTATATAAAGAGAATAAAAGTGGAATAGCACACAACCTTGTGGAACACCAGTGTTCAGAACCCTGCAGTCAGATAGTGTTATCAGCACAGACTCGTTGGGGTCTTCCTCTGAAAAACTTTCTAATCCACAACACAAGATGGCTGCTGACATTTAGATCATAGGTGTTTTAAAAGAACGTGTGGCTGAACCGTATTAAAAGCTGATGAAAGGTCCATGAATAATACACAAACATGTTTTCGGGTTGTCTAAATGATTATGGACCTTGTTGTGGAGGGAGAGAGTGTCATCCTCCACCCCTCGGTTAGTCCTATAGGCTAACCGCATGAGGTCCATATGCTCAGATGTAAAAGACGAGTCCCCTGCTCACCAGGTATTCCATACAGTTGCCCAATACAGATGTGAGGGCAACTGGTCTAAAATCATTCAGTGCCTACAGGACCACATTTTTTAACACCCTTTCTTTAACGCCATCTGGCCCTGCTGCTTTGAGGATTGGTTTTCTGAAAAATTCAAATGAATTTCTTCACCTGCAATTCCCCAGGAGATGGTGTCAGGGCTGCACAGACGGAGTCAGTCTCATCACTGAAGTCACGAAGGTCAAATCTTGAGTAATGGACATTTAGTTTATTTGCAAGACCAAAAGGGTCAGTGTTCTGAAGGGAACCTTTTTGTTTCCTCCTCACTATTGTGCTCATGCAGGTGACCAAAACTTGTCTGTGGGCCAGACAAAGAGCCTAACGAGCCTCTGTTGCGAGGACGACCAGTTTTAATCTAATCACAGGTAGATCTGAGTACACAACGAGGCATCTCATGCACTTCTATAAAGCTTGGAGCTCCACTTTCTGCAGTTTTGAATTGATAAAGCCTCCCGGAGGGGAAGTGTTCAATCAAAGTCCACTGTTTTATTTTGATGACTGATACACCAGCTCACCAGAAGGTGAGTTGGAGGTAGTGGTCATCTTGAATTGGGTTCACTCCTAAAGCTATTGTGTTTTATCCATTGAGTACTTTCTGCCATTTTTATTGATATTTATCACGAGACAGCTCGCAGATAAGGACAGAAATAAAGTCAACTTTTGTCACAATCAAATGAGACAACATGAAATATTTCAAAAAGTAGCAAACGGCTCCATTTCATTTAGACTTTTTCTGATTTGATTTAAAATAGTAGACAACTGTTTAACACTATTTTACCACCAGGTCAGCACTTTGTATATTAAAGTTTACGAAGTGCATTAAAGTTAAAATGTCTTTAAACCCCACAGACGAATTTCTACAAACTTGGTGAGAAACATGCTTTAAATGTGTGAAATTGTAATAAAGAGGTCTAAATGAAATGTAGCTATTTCGTACACTAGTGGTGTGCGCACGCACACACACACACACACACACACACCACCACCAGTGTGTGTGTCGTCCCCCTGTTTGGAAAGAGGTATAGGTTCGGCTTTTATTTTGATAGTCCACTTCCGCTTTTTGGCAAGGAATTTGCATATTAGTTAAATATTTAGGTTTGAGCTAAACATTTAACTTGCAAGTTAAATATTTAGGTCTGAGCTAAATATTTAGTTAGCAAATTAAATATTTAATTTAGGAATTAAATGTTTTGCTAAGTAATTAAATGTTTAGTTTTGAAAATAAATATTTAGCTTGGAAATTAAATATTTGATTTACACCTAAATATTTATTTTACTAAATATTTAACTTGCAAGTTAAATATTTAGTGTTGTAAATTAAACATTTAGCTTGGACATAAACATTTAGTTTGTAAATTAAATATTTAGCATGGAGCTAAATATTTAGCTTGCTAACTAAACATTTAACTTTCAAGTTAAATATTTAGCTTGCTAACTAAACATTTAACGTTCAAGTTAAATATTTAGCTAGCAAGTTAAATATTTAGG